AAACTGTCCCTGACAACCAACTCCCATTGCTTGTGTAAATAGCATGCAGCCATGAAAGATTGATTCTGTACACGTGAATAATTTTCAGGTTTTGCGATATGAGTTAGCCTACATTGGCCCAATATTCCTCTCTCAATAGTGCCTTAAAAAATTAGTACCAGGGGTGTGTTAGTCTGAGTAGACTAGAGAAACAAAATTCATAGACACTCATTTTATAAGATAGAGTTTTATATAAAGGGTAAGTGTACATTAAGAAAGCATCCCAACCCAGTCCAGACCTAGGCCATAAGTCCAGCATTGGCCCATATGTCCGACACTGATCTACAAAGTCCTACTCAAACTCACAAAACACACACAATGCCGCCGAAGGCAGGAGGAAAGCTGAATCAGTGAGTGTATAAGCATCTCTGCGCTGGCAGGGGTCTCCCCACGGCTGTTCCAGCACCCAGGGCTGCATCGGGGTAGGTTCATGTGGCTTCTGCTCAGGGATGTCTCACAGGAAGTGAGCTTGTCCCCTGAGGCAGAGAAGTGGCTAAGGCAGCCGCACTCTGGTCCGACCGTCAGAGAGCAAGAGACATTTATCTCTCCGTCCTTCATTAGTCCCACATGTGTTCATTGGCCAGGTTGGCACAATAAACCTAATTATCACAAGAGGCTACTGGATGACAATATTAATGGAAGAGCTTTATGCCGCAGGTAGATGATCAATTAGATTGTCTACTATAATTAACAAGGAGATCTCTAAAGGACCCAAGGCAGATAAAAATATATAGATCCAGGAAGGGGTTTGTGGCACCCACTAAATCCCAGCTCTGATTGAAGAATAATTAGATCTTACATCATGACACTGATCAATACCTATGTACCCTTCCCTCAGGAAGGGAACACAGATGATATGGATGCTATAGAAAAGTGTAATGAAGAAATTAGATGCTGCCTGGCTATCGGATAAAATAGTGTCTGCAGTTTTAAAGGCTTATTTCCAAACAAGCAGCCATCTGGAGAATATGTCCACCAAGTCCTCAAGGAAGAAGCACACCAACGTTAGTTACCAAAGGATTGAAACTCATATAAGCCAAAGCCAAAGCAGGGAAAAGTACCAGAGCCTAAAATATGAGGTTTGCAGAAGGCTCGCGATGACACTATGACAGTGGAAGCCCAAGATACATTTGTGAGCACTACATAGGAAAAAGCCCCGGACAGCTCCCTCTATCCGTCAGAGAGTAATGGGAAGAAACTGGTTACCAAGCATTGTGCATTGAAGATATGACCATGGGAGGTAAAACTGATAAACCTGACTTGAACGGTTAAAACCTACTCAGTTAATCCCCAACCACCACCACCACCACTACCACCTCCACCACCCCAAAGCATGTTTGATCTGCTGATCTGATTTCCAACATTTTCTGTGGGTGTTTTTGTTCATTTGTTTTCACGTTGGTATTTCTATCAGATGTATTTTGTCATTGGGGATAGCCCTCTTAAATTAATATCAGTTGTATGTTGTTCTGTTTTTCAGTATATCAAACCCAGGATTGATGGACCTATATAGGAACAGCAAATAGAGTAAGGGCTCTTAAGGGATATATTGGAGGAAAGGGAAGGAAGAGAATGTTTTGAAACTGATTGTGGTAGCAATTGTACAATACTTCTCGATGTGATTGAACTATGGAATGATATCTGGATTAGCTCCCAATAAAATGGTTTGGGGGGGAAAAAAAGAAAAAGGAAAACTTTTTTTAAGTTTTCAGTGAAAAAATAGATCTCCAGAATAAATTTATTGGCTACTGATTTCTTCGACTGTACTTCTGACTGACTATATGCTAAGAACAAAACAGATGTGGTCTTCCCTTAAGGAACTCCAAGTTCAATATATATGAATATCTTTTCGAGGTTGGAAAAACTGTCTCCTAAAAAAGTTCACTGTCACTGAGTCATTACCATATAGCAACCTACATAGTTCATTTAAGGTGCAGGGAGTTTTTAGGTATTATATACTGATTTGATTATTTAGTTTTCTGCAGTAAATTAATATTAGAATCTTGCCATGTTCAATTTGTGAAATGTGTGATGGTTTCCCAGGTACCAACTACTTGATATATGATACAAATATACATATGTAGGGATTATGTATATTTGCCATGTATGTGTGTGTGCATGCATAAATCAAGATCAATGATATATTATTATTGTTATTTTGTGTCGTACATTGTCCATTGTGTCCCTTCACCCACATTTATGTTATTCATCCCCCTGGGGGTTGGGCTTTATATCCAACCTTGTGATGGGTTCCCGCTTTCTACCCCTTCCCCACTGCCCCGCCCTGACCATCCTCCTACTTTCATGATATCGCTACTCCTACTACTGTTCCTGAGGGTTTTATCGGTCCTGAATTTCATATGTTGAGAGCTCCAATCTGTACCAATGTGTGTAATCCGGTCTAGCCAGATTTGTGAGGAAGAACTGGTTCATAGTAGTGGGGGAAGGGGTGGGAGAGGAAGCATTCAGGAACTAGAGGAATGATGTGTGTTTCGTAGGTGTGATACTGCACCTTGGTTGAATCGTCCCTTCCTTGTAACCCTTCTGTGGGGGACGTCCAATTGTCTACAGATGGGCTTCACATCAACATAAGTGTTTGTTTTGGATCTTTTGATACCTGATACCTGATCCCGTTAATACTTCATGATCACCCAGACTGGTCTGCTTCTTCCTTGTGGGCTTATTTGCTTCCCTGCTAGATGGCTGCTTGTTTAACATCAAGTCTTTAAGACCCCAAACACTATATCTTTGGATAGCTGGGTACCATCTGCTTTCTTCACCACATTTTGTCTTCAGAGATTGTGTCAGGAAGGTGAGTATCAAAGAGTGTCAGGTTATTAGAAAAAATTGTTCTTGTGTAATTTAGGGAAGCCTTGAGTAGAGGCCCAAAGTCTATCTGCTATCTTAATAGGTTAACATATGAATATATGTACATTGGCCTCTATCCCTTTCATTATAAATTAATATGTTTACATATGTACATGCCCATAGCTATACCTCTATAAATAGTTTTTGCATCCTACTTCTTTCCTCTATTTCCTTTTACCTTCCTCCTGTCCCACTAACATGCTCACCTGCCACTCAGATCTCAGTAATTTCTCGTGGATACACTGCATTTGGTCAAACCCCACCAGGGTTTATACGCCTCCTCACCACCAATTTTAGATCTCTTGTTGTTCCCTTATCCCTAAGTTTGTTGGCTCCCACTTCCCCCACCTCCTTTCTCAGGATTGTTTTCTCCTCTGGATTGTTCGTCCTGCCTAGGACAAAACAAACAAACAAACAAATAAATCCCCATTATGTTGTTCCAGGTCTGTCTGCTGACTGTTAAGAGTGTTTTCCAATCATGTCTGATGTAGTGCCAAGCCCTGTCCCCCAAGTCAGAAGTCCATTTTCATGAGTCCTTGGGGCCTTGGCTTCTTTGCTTCCCTTGCTGCCCTACTGAACTACCTTCACGCTCCACCCCGCTGTGCATGGGTCAGACCGGACATACTTTCTGCATAGTGCTGTCTCATTTTTATCTCCAAAGAGTGCTGATGAGTAAGCCTGATGCTTAACCCACTGTGCCACCAAGGATCCTGTGAGGCTATAACACATAGCAGGTATTTGAAGATCATTCTACAAAGATATAGAGTCTGGGGTCCTATAGGCTTGAAGATAAACAAGCAGCCATCTGAGAAACAACAAAGCCCACATGGAAGAAGCACACCAGCCTGTGAGATCACCAGGCGCTGAAGGGATCAGGTATCAGGCATCAAAGACCAAAAAATATCATAGCATTGTGAATGAGGGGGAGTGCGGAGTGGGGGCCCAAAGCCCATCTGTTGGAAATTGGACATCCCCTTGGGGAAAGGCTGCAGGGAGGAGATGAGCCAGTCAGGGTGCAGGGTAGCAACGATGAAACATACAACTTTCCTCTAGTTCTTGAATGCTTCCTCCCCACCACTATCATGATCCCAATTCTACCTTACAAATCTGGCTAGATCAGAGGATGTACACTGGTACATATCAGAGCTGGAAACACAGGGAATCCAGGGCGGTTGATCCCTTCAGGACCAGTGGTGAGAGTGCCGATACCGGGAGGGTGGAGGGAAGGTGAGGGAGAAAGGGGGAACAGATTACAAGGATCTATACATAACCTTCTTCCTGGGGGACGGACAACAGAAAAGTGGATGAAGGGACACGTCAAACAGTGTAAGATATGATAAAAAATAATAATTTATGAATTATGAAGGGTTCATGAGGGAGGGGGAAGTGGGGAGAAAGGGGAGGGAATGAGGAGCTGATATTAAGGGCTCAAGGAGAAAGCAAATGTTTTGAGAATGATGAGGGAAACAAATGTACAAAAGTGCTTGACACAATGGATGGATGTATGGATTGTGATAAGAGTTGTACGAGCCCCCAATAAAATGATTTAAAAAAAGAATTACAATAGATGTGATAGACAGTGTAAAGACTTCAAATTGGTGGTCAAACTTTCAGTGTTCTGGTCTCATTGTTGGATTGTATTCCCAAATCCTCGGTGGTGCACAGTAATACCGTAATTTTCACTATGCTAAGATAAATTCAGTGAGTATGGTTTTTAAAGAGTCCTAATATATATTCCCAAAACTCAATCTTTAGATTATCTTTTAAAATTATTTAAACATAAATTAAAATTTAATTTTTTTAATTCTTTAAAATGATATCTTTTCAGCATAAATATTAAAACTCCATCAAAAGACAGTTTTCCAAGAAGTAGCATTAAAAACCAAATAAGACAGACACATAAAGATTATGTGTTTGCATTTGCACACGCATATATCACAAGCCATATGCCATTTAACTAACCCTTTAACAACAACCAAAAAATCACAACAAAAGCCAGATAGTAATTGTAATTTTAGGGAATGAAACCTTTATCTAAAAACATCGGCAACCATTTTAATGCTTTGTTATACTTTAAGAAAAGTAGACTTTACCTGTGCAAGAATGGGAAAACCAAGGTTCCTACATCCATTACAAGGAGTTAATGCTTCCCAAATTCCTGAGGGCCCACAAGTGTTTCCATCGTCATCATCTTCTTCTACTTCTCCTGGTGACAAATTTATTGTAGATGAAGTTCTCTGAAATTAAATTTATATTATACCAACATATTATATCCTTGTTATTGAGCATCAAGATTACATAAATCACTTGTGATATATATATATATATAAGCGGACAAGAATCAGCTTACTTCTAGGTATAATTCCATAGCTGTACTGAGCCAAAATCATGCATAAGCCAATTAAAGTTGAAAATGAAATATCATAAAATATGGCATTTATAAAGAAGACTAAGATATGGTAATAACATAAGATAATATGTGGATAGCAGTAAATAAGAAACATCTTATTCATCGATGTTTAGGCACAAAGACATTTAATATGGAATGACAGGGATAGCTATTGACACAGGAATGCTAAAGAGACTTTTTTTTCACAGTGTCACAAAACGGGGAACAAAATTTCATAGTGTACATATAACAGGGGTAATACTTTAATTCATGATGAGTCTCCCATGTTGAACATATTGATTTACTTGTGTTACCCCCAAAATCTCAATAATAGCAGTAAGGCAATTTTTAAAAATTGTTTTAAACCATAATGACAAGGATATTAGTTAAGATAAGTAGTTCAATATTACCTAAGATTTAGCAAAACAAACAAGCTGAAAGCAAAGTATTGACAAGACGATCACAAAAAGGCAGAACTTTTCATGACTCAGGTCAGGATGCCTGAGAAATTGGAGCGCCTGACCACCTGTGAAAGTGTGGGTGAAGGTGGGCAGAAAGAACATGGAAACACTGGTTCTTTGGCCGCCCAGTCAGGAACCTAGACTATCACCGCCTAGTAAGAAGTTGAAAGTTTGTTTTACTGGAGAGGTTGAAATCAAGGGAGTAGGAACTTGAGTTCAAGTGCACTGGGCAATCCAGTGCCTTCCCATAGTTGCTTTAGAGAACAGCGAAGTCATATTTCTTTGTCCTGGTTAGGAAACAAGAATATTTGTCTCAGAGATTGGCCTCCCGAGAAAAATATCTAGAATTACTCCATAAAATGGTGGGCTACATATCATAGCACTTCTTCTGAAGTTCATCAATCAACAGCACCTTTCACCACACTCCACCAACATAGTTGCTAAAAATGCACACCAGTACCCATAACCTCTGTGCACTAGGAGAAAGCCGCCACTGAAGACCAAATAATTACACAGTTATGAATAGAATCCTCAGAGAGATCCAAGATGTTGCAAACATGAAACAAGAACAGAAGGCTACAAAATAAATGAATACATAAAAATCCAACAGAAGGACTGGAAAATAAGCATGAGGGAATTTCCAAGATAATATAGCAAAACGACGAAAAGAAAATTAAGAAATTTCCAAACAAGATGTCCAACACCTGAAAAACAGGTGCTCCAGAAATTAGAGAGTAGAAGTGAGAGGAAATTATCAAATGTTATAATTTTTCCCAGAAGAAAAATACCAAGCCCATAGAGTCTTCATGAAAAAAAAAAGTCATATATACAAATAAAAGGAGCCATTT